CGGCATTCACCCGGAGGAGCTGAAGGAAGTGTCTGGAGAGAGGGAAGTCTGGGCGTCTTTGCTTAGACTGCTGCCCCCATGACCCGGTTCTGGATAAGCAGAGAAAAATGGATGGATGGATAATTACAAGTTGTTTACCCTTGTTTTTACTTGTTTTAGTTCTTTGCTAACTTACTAAAATGCTATACAGTATAAAATTACAATTGTCAGATTTTCTGCAGATTTAACGCAGTGTGAGCCACGATCACGTTCAGCTTGATTCCAAGAGAAACTGAAGCACTATGAGAAGGAATTCAAAACAAACTGAAGGAAAAACTTTGGCTTTCCAGATCTCTGTGGTGTGCTTTTAACCAGTTACTGGGACATTAACACAGATTGATGTGAGGAAACAGGTCATGGAGATGCATATCAGTACGGTGAGTAGGTCAGGAAACAGATGTATCCCTAAGTGCAGTCATATCATTAGGCTAACTGGCTCTGTAGAAATGCACTATTAGGTGATATACAGTATGTTGGTGGGTTCATTACTATGAGTAAACTGATTAAATTTATTGTTAATGTGAAATCTTTGTAACATTTTACTAATAAAACGAGTAAAATATTTGGCTAAAAAGCACCAAGTGAAAGGGAAAAAGCATAACCTACATAATTTTAAAAGACCAGGGGTAACTTTTTAAGATTTTACCTAAAAAGAAGCTAAATGTTAAATCACCACATATCTATGCTGCTTATTTGAATGCGTTTAAAAAGTTTACATTTCTTTGAGTTAATTTCTTCCAACAATATGTGTCATGGAATCCTCGGAATAACACATACTGACCTCTTGTGCTTTTGTCCAGGAACAAATTGACCCATAATGCACTCAGCTGGACAAACTATAATACTGTAGAGCCACTTCATACTCACCATGTACTGACCATACTAGTGTGCTTGTGGAAGTGGAAAAAAAGCACACAGACTAGGAAGACAGATAGAAGCGAGGGAACTTTTGATGATGTAACTGGATGGTAAAGCACAAGAAAAGAATAGTAAAACCAACTGCACAACCCGACTGTCTTCTGCTCCCTCATCAACACCATCCCCCAGGACCGGAGTGACCTGTCCTGGGCTTATATGTGACAAGTTGACCCATTAATGAAAATACAAAATTAAAAACCATTGTGCTGTGGACGTTCATGACCCTCACTCTAAAAAGAAAGGAAAATCCAGGAAATTACACACACACACACAAAGTTAGGGAGAGAGGGAGTAGTGGACAAAAGGTGAGCGTAGTTTGCCAACCATAGCACTTCCATTCATCTACCCTTTACGTCTGTCTGACCAGAGTCTGGTGGACACAGACAAAAAAATCCTGCCATGGAGATTGAGCAAAGGTCTTGGCTTTCTGGAGGGGAGGTGGGGAGTGGAGAGGTGGCCCAGTGTCAGAGTTGGAAAGGCATTGTCAAAGCTGTGGTTATCCATTGTTGCTTTTGATGCTCACCCCTGATCCGGCACCTACCTCACCCATGTCTTCTGTATCCGACTTTCTTCTTTGTCCAGTTTTACTCAGGCTTTTGTCTTTTTCCGAAGTGAGGGATGGGTCTGTAGGAAAAAGGGGAACTGTTTTCAGTTGCCTTTTTGACATTCAGACATAAAGCTGCTATAAATTCCCAGCAAGGGAATGCTGCTGTTTGTTCAAACATACAGCCACAACGTTCACACAATACCCACCATCACACGAGGCAGTCATGCTGTTATTCCTCTGCATGGAGGGAGATCAACATGTCAGCCCAGTTTCCAGCCATTCTGCTTTAGCTCGCTCTGCTAAACTGGATGTTTTCTATCCAAAATAATCTTTGCACTTGCTAGCGATGCTACTTTTAAAAAAAAATCTTTATACCCAAATTTCATTGCCTACCCAAAATATACACCGCTAAGAAAGAGAGAGAGAACAGTGGTGGTCACTACATTTATCTGACAGCTTGTTACTTTAAACTTGCCCTTCTGCTCCACTTTAAGCTTGTTATTTTAAATACATTATAAAAGTACAGCAGTGGTTCCCCACATTTTTGGTTTCTTGCCCTTGAAAAAAGCAATAGTTTCTACCCTCTGTAAACTTCACAGATTATTCAATTTAAATAATTTGTTGAAGAAAACTGTCAGGATCAGCATGTGAAGCAGGAGGACGCTGCCTAAATAGGGGTGAAAACAGGTGCAAACACTCAGGAGCAGGTGAAACTAATGTGAGTGATGACTAAAGTAAAAAGACCGAAACTGTGGTGAAAACAAAAACAGGAAGCAATGTCAAAATAAAAGCGCGAGAACAGAAATAGGTGGCACCAAATCATGACAGAAAACTATGCAAAGGCAGATATTATAGAAAGGCCTGGATATGAGATCATCTCACATTTATTCATAGTCATCCTCTGATCTCTAAACTGCATAAAGTAGTTACAAGTACCCCACCTCAGCCAGCTAAAACTGTCAAATACTGCTTACAAGCTGGTACTTCAGTAGAGCTCCAGCAATATTATAATAATAACAACAACATCAGCCACAAGGTGAATTATTCCACAGAACAAGTTGTTCTCCTCTTGACTCTAGAACATCTTGTTCATAATATTTCTGAATGCAGGAATTTTAATGTACTTATTCTTAAATTACTACATTGGTACTTTTACTGGAAAAGAACCTGAATATTTCTTCCAGCACTGAGTATGTCTGATGTGGAAGCAGGACTGTAATTTTAGAAATCATAAGTTCTAACTTACTAACTTTTGACTTCCCATTTGACCAGACTTCACATGTAACTGGTCAGTTCTGTAAATCTACAGAAACATATTGTAATTTCAGAAGAAAAATATTTATCTCCTAATTAGGATTTTCATATTTCATTATTATCTTTTAATAACAGGAAAAGACATATTAATGAGATCCTGATCTCCTAATTTTAAGTAATGCATTTTTCAACTACAAAACACCTGTGAGATTTATTTTTAGAAAATGTCAGATTCGGCCTTAAAAATCTTAAGGTGTAATCTCTTCTTCGGGCCATTAAACGTCCCAAAAGTCTGAAATATTATTGAGTACATTACTTTGTATCCTAAGTGATCAAGTAAAACAAAATATAAAAATGAAATTTTTATATATTGCTATAACACAGCCCTGTCCCACCTGGAGCATCCTAACACTTATGTCAGGATGCTATTTGTTGACTTCAGTTCGGCATTTAATACTGTAATCCCAGACAAACTGGCACTGAAACTGCACAATCTGGGAATGCCT